TAAAAAAACTGAAGTAAACTCAAAAGCATAATTACTATGGTCCAAATTCACTTACAGCCAGGATGCGGCTGTGGTACATATGCGTTTACCACACACGATTCTCTGGATTCAGCACCCAAAAAGGAAGAAATTGAATTCACTAAATCATCTCTTTTTCTCCTCAGTCTGCAACTGTGGGGAGTAAGGAGCAGACTGTTTACCTAAAAGTCAGTCCACGGCAAGAGGTCAATGTTTCGGTGACTCCATTGATATCTGGATCACATTCCCCTGACCCTAAGCTGTGGCTAGTCTTTCTTAGGAACAGACTTCACAGAATCACCTCAAAAAGGAGTGGATGAGTGAAGAATGCTCCTCACCTTTGTCCATTTTATTAGTGCCCTGCATCGATATTAATACATTACCGTGTGTAATGATCATATCATTCCTCCTAGATTCATAAAGCTGGGCAAGTCTTGATAACAAAGAGACATCAGAACATGCAAAGCTCAATCTTCCATCTCACACAGCACTGCTAACATGAGTTGTCTGGGGCTTCTTCCCTACACATCAAGCAACCGGCAGGTTCTTCACAATGAACAAGTCAGGCGCTCTCTAATTCAATTTTGTTCTGACACTGTACATCTGGAGATAGTGTCAGACCTCACAGGGTGAAGGCTGAGTCCCACAAGACTTCAGATGTCAGTCACAAGTCACAAGTCCCAAGCCAGAGCCTGTGCTGATGGAAGCTGGCTATAACTCAGGGGCCTCAGCACTCCCTGCTCAGGGTTGATCAGCTTGCTCAGAGCAGCTCACTGAGCTCTGGGGAAACATGTACTAGTCGCTATGAAGGACATTATAGAAAAGTCAGATGAGCAGCCAGGTGGAAGAGATGCATAAGGCCAGGTATGGGAGTAAGGTGTTGAGCTTCCAGGCTCTGTTTGGGTACCACTCCATCTCGGAACCTCCACATGTTCAGTTACCCGAAAGCTCCCAGAATCCGATGCGTTTGCATCTTCAGGGAAGCTTTATTAGGTAAGTATGGTCGATTGTGTTGCTAGGCACTGATGATCAACCAAATGTTAAGCCCCTTTCCTGATGGGCAAGGCTAAAAGCCCCAACCCTTCAATCACGCCTTCGTCTTTGTAGAGGCTAGACCCCCAGGCTAAAGCTTCCTGGAGGGACCCGGCCTCCAGTCACTGTAGTGCTGTCCCACAGAAGAGCGGCTCAGGACCTGATGGTTTCAGGAAGACTGAACCTGTGCGACAGAAAATAGGATGGCAACAGGTCTGTATTTTCCAGCATCACACGAAATGACTAATTTCTGTAGCAGGCTCGAAAACTGCTACATCATACAAAACTGACTTTATAATAAACTATCAGCCAATAAGACTGTCTAAAAAGGAATCTTAATTTGGGAAAGCACCAAAAGCCAAAAGCCAAAAGCCAAAAAAAAAAAAAAAAAAAGTTTAGGTCTGAGGGGCCTATTTATTCTCTGCCTTCTCTGGCTGTCTTAGTCTATGCCTCATATCCTGGCATATTATAAGTGTACTCACTTCTCTCCAAAATGGAGCTGTTTGGACAACTGTTTCTATAACATTTCGACTATGTAGAAACTGAAATAATTCCTGCTACAGTTTGCTTTCTGTGGCTGTGATAAAACACCTTGACCAAAGCAACTTAGGGAGTAAAGAGTTTATCTGGCTCACACATTCCAAATTGCTGTCTATCACTGAGGGAGTCTGAGTAGGAACTCAAGCCAGGAGCCTGGAGGCGGGAACTTAAGTAGAGGCCTTGGAGGGGGCTATTTACCAGCTGTCTTATAGAACCCAGGACCCCTGCCCAGGGGTGGCCCTGCTCACAGTAAGCAAGGACGTCCCACATCAATTATTAATCAAGAGGATGTCCGCAAGGGTTGCTTGCGGGCCATCTGATGGAGGCACTTTCTCAGTTGAGAGTTCCTCCTCCAAAATGTTCTTAGTTTGTGTCAAATTGATAGACCAAAAAACTAACCTGCACAACTCCTCAGCATTCCTTGACAAAAAGAAAGCTATGATTTTCAAACCCAATAACATATACCGAGGTGGACTACACACGCCGCTTTCAGACTCCCCAACTGTGAAAGAGTTAATCAGCATTTTAACTTTTCATGCATCCAAAGCAAGATTATGAAACTTCTTCAGACATAAAGGTGGAGCTTGGCCTTGCGACCTAGATTTGGGAAAGCCCCATTTCGGTCCTTCCCCCCCCCCAGTCCCAGGGACTCAGAAGGGAGGCACGGTGACTCAGCATTTCTAGGGCGTTCGTTAGAATGTGCCTCAGCGCGACAGAACCCGAGTGCAGGAAAAGTTCAAGTCCGCAGATATTAAAACCAAAAGCTAAAAGCAATGAGGATGCAATTCTATGCTTTCTCATTGTAACTTTTGGGAGGCAGCAAGCTGATAAGTCTCTCATCACTGACATTAAGCAAACCATCATAAGAGCCAAAGGAAAACATACACTATTGCTCCATCCTAGTTAGCAGCAGAAACTCCATTGTGGCCCAGACTGCCAATCTGCCCTGAGCTACTACCCAAATTACCTAAGGCTAGGCTGCAGCCCCCCTAACCCTCACATAGCCACAGCACGCCCCCCAACCCCGTACACAGCAGCCCCAGTCTCTCACACAAGCATTCCACTCTTTTCTGATTGGTTGGCCTAGAGCTGGTCTGAGCCACCAAATCACAGAACTCCCTGACAGGCGGAAACTGTGTCACCATCAAAGTCCCCAACTGCTTCTCCCAGTACTACACTCTGATTGGATGGGACTCTGGAGCAGGCTCTGAGGCCCCTGCCTCAGGGACACAGTTTAGAACCAGAACCCTGCCGCCTCCCTGATATCAGGTTTCTCCTAAATGAATTTTTGGCTTGCTCGAACCCGGTCTTTTGTGGTGAATTATTTCCAGATTCTTGTATGTTAACAATATTTCTTATCAACCAGTCCAGGAAAACCCTAAAGATACCAGGGAAAAGGAAACCATGGACCACAAAAGGAAATTTCGGTGGCACCAAATCAGATCGGCACTATTAAAATCTGACCCAGGCACATCTCAGAATCTTGCTTATGCCAAGCCTGTTTCTCCTGGAGAATAACTATGACTTTTTCATCCTTGCAACTCTTATCTCTTATCTGTGAACCCTTACCATGCAGCTTTGCATATGAGAAATGTATAACAGATATTTACAGAATTAAACTAGAAAGAAAAAAAGTTTTGAATATTATTCCTGCCTAAACATTCTTTTCAAAAGTCAAAAAGAAGTCCGTCTATGGGGGAGGGGCTGTCAAGAAGCTTAGTCACTTCAACATCAAACCAGGCTCCACAGGAAGACTCTGTGCCTCTATATAGTGACAGGTAAAAGTTCAACAGATATTACTATCATTAAGTCAGACACATGATGTAAAATCACACCCACAAGCAAAACAGCCATCTAAGGCTAGACTACCGGGCAAGCATCAGTCACAGAGTTCAACGCCCAAGTTAAAAAGAAATTCCACCGAAGCTTCTTTCAGATCTCGGCTGAGGAGGGCTTAGACGTTCTTTAAAGCCAGCTTTGAAGCAACTTTGGCCTTCCTTCCTCCAGCGCCCTGTGCAAAGGCCCTGGAGTTTAAAAACTATAACTACAGAGCACAGCCCATCCCCCACTTGGCACAAGGATCATTAATAAGGGAAGCTATTTAGTCTTCAACGCTTGCTTGACCTTGGATATCTCTTCCTAAAGACAACACCCACCCCCTCTACCCGTAAGACGTGAAGTGTTAGTTGCTCCACTGATACAGGAAACCTTCTGAGGGAAAGACTTGGCCAAAGAGAAGTTCATGATCTGAACCACAGTGGGCAAAAACCCCTTCAAAATCACACAAACAAGCCGAACAGGGTTAACGAAGTTATTCAGTAGGAAGAAAGCTTTGTTTCAGGACCTCACTTGTTCTAAAAATAGTAACAATTAACAGTTCAAATCCAAAAGCTACTTTACAACCTTCAGAAGAGTCATCGAAAGGCCTTGCATCCTTATCTACCCATGTGTGGAATGGGGAAGGACACTGTACTTACCCCTGTTTCAGTAAACTAACCACACACTGGTGCAAATCACAGAAGCTTGGCCTACATTCTACATGCTTTAACTACTTCCTTCTCTTGCCAACTGAACAAAAACTGTTCAGAAGGAAATACATAACATAAGGAGTCTGTTTTCTTTTTCTGCACCTAATACAGAACAGAGGCTCCACCACGTCACTGTGTAGACCTGCTTCGGGTCCAATGACACAGGAGAACGGATCCCATAAACTCTTGGGACATTAAATACTTCTGTCTTCAATCGAGTCCCCTTTTCAAGCGCAATACCACTTTCTAAACCAACCTAGAAGCTCATGTTCCCCATTGACGCAGAGAGTCCTCAAGGATGATGTCAACTCAAACTAGTTGTTATCTTAGACAAGTCATGGTTCCCTCTTCTTCAGAGCCTCTTGAAATGCCAAATTGTTTACTGAAAAAAATATATCATAGCAATGCTGCCTGCCATGCCAATTCAATGCCCAGCTAAAGAAATAAAGTAAACTCAAATGCAAGTTCTACACAGAAACACTGCTGGGGAAACAGCAGCCACACTGCCTATTGGCGAGGCCTTCTGTGGACAGACTGCCAGGAGCTTTTATCTCCAGAAAGGTAGATCCCTGCATCCTTACGTAAAGGTCCCCAAAACAAGTTTGCTCTACTGTTTAGTACCAAAGCACCAGAGGGACATGGGAACCAAGTTCCTCACGGGACATCTGAAATTGTTCAGTTTCATTTAGCCAAAGAAACAAACAGTAAACCCTGCCCTGGTCATCCCAAGTTAATCCCCTCTGGTTTCTCTTCTATCACCATATTAATTGCTTTCTTAATAAAATGCTGCACTAAAATTTGTGAAATCAGATTCTGGCAGAAAGTCAAACCGAAGGAGAAGTCTTCATGGCAGCAACCCGGGCCTACTCAGCCCCTGCCTACCTTACTGTGTTTCTGCTGGTGTCTGGCCTTTGTGTCGAGCACATGATAAGGGCTTTCGGAGTCCTGGTTGATGTAGTACACCAGTCTTGAAGGCAGTGTGATTTCCTTCTGCACTGCACTGCTGGAGCTGGTATTGCTGCTGCTGTTCTGTTGCGATGCATTGTCTTCATTTGCCAGGATTCCCAGGTTTTTCTCTGCAGTTTCATTCCAATGCAGAGCTGGGGGTGGGGGAGTGGGGCAAAAAGCACAAATATACACAAACATACACATAGACATCCAGTAAGTTTGTACATTGTAAAATGCACCTTTCCGTTAATTGCATTAACAAAGTTTTCCTATTTATAAGGAGGTAGGAAGTGGAGAGGCAGAAAAACAAGTGATTGTAACAGTGGGATACTCTGGGTAAGTTAGGAGCCAGGGAAGCTTATACAATCGTGGCTCTATATTATATATTATACTGTAGCCATTGTAGACCTTCCCTAACTAGTCTTCGATCTGAATGTCCCAACTATGAGGGGGCAGGGACAGAAAAGGCTTAGAGAAGAGTCAGCAACTGGACATGCTCAAGGGTCCTGACCCTCATCCCCTCCCTCTTTGGAGGTCAGAGCAATTCAACTGGACCAAGCTCAGCATCCCATCTGGGAGCTAAGAACATTCCTGACATGTCTTGGGGGCTGAATTCATGAACCTTGAATGTAAAGTGATTCTTTCAACAATATATATATGATTTCCTTTTCTTTTTTAACTTTGAGATGAGGGAAAAAACTGTTTTGTCATAAAGGGCTACAGAAGTTGGCAACTTTCCAAATTCTTTTTCTTTTACTTCCAAGGTCAGCTTTCTGCTTTCAGTGACTTCCAATCACCAGTGTGCTCAACACTGTATTATTCTGATTGCTCATTATGACAAGCATTTTGGGAAAACACAGTCAAAGGTCATGCGCAAAGTGTGTCTTGGAGACTTTCATTCTCTGGTCCCCAAAGTATGCCTCCCTCACCTTAATTCCAACAGCAGACACTAAACCTAGTGGGGGATTTGAAGAAACAAGCATTTGCCACTATTATTGCATGCTCCCCGCATTCATAGGAAGGTTCCCCAAAGCAAGAAGCAACTTGCTTGCTCACTGCGTATCCCTGTCCCTGGAAGTTACATAGGGAGCGCTAAAGGACTCAGGAGCCACGAAATAACCTCTGGGTGGAACCCACAGTCACTGGAATGAGTCTTTAGTGAATGCAACAGAAACGGACTTCCAAAAGTGAACTAGCATGAACCTGGGCTTGGGACTGAGAAGGGTGCACAGGTCGACAGAGAGGCGCTCAAAGGCCAGGCTGGGGACCCACACGTCCAGGGTACACGCACCTGCGTGCCCTTCTCTCTCCTCCCAAGGGCCCCATGGAAAAGGCAACGAAAAGGGCACCGGCCATACCCACCACTGGGCGCAGAGGCCCCCCAGGCGCGGGGCCGGGACGAGGCGGCGAGCGCTGGCAGCAGAAGGACGAGGAGCAGGCGGCAGGGTGGCGCGCGGGCCAGCACCGGGCCGGCGGGGCAGCGACAGGGGCCGCGGGAGGCGCCGGCCAGGCTGCAGCCCGCCAGGGGTAGCCGTCGGGAGCTGCTGCCGGGCGGCTTCATGGCTCATCGCTCCCGGGCGCCGGTCCGAGTGACCCGCGAGAGCTCCGGGCTGGGCTGCGGGGCGGCTGCGGGCGGAGCCGGTCACGCCGGCTGGGCGCGCATGCTGCGGCCGCGGGCAGGGGTCAGGGGCCGGGGGCTGGGGGACGTCGGCGCGCCCTCCTCGGCTATTTCCGCCTTTCGGGAAGCGGCCTGCAGAGAGGGTCCCCTCCGCTCAGCCAAATTAGACCCTCCCCAGTGGCTGCACCCTCCCAGTGGCGGGCGCGGCCGCTCCTGTGACTGCGGGGGTTGCTGCCGGGCCTAAGGATGCTGAGGAGGAGCACGGGAGCGAGCGGCGCGGGCACGCGCGGCGCGGGCACGAGACACGGGGACGCGCAGCGCGGTACTGCACCCCACCCTCCGGGAGCGCGCCCGAGCGGGCTTTCGGGTGCGGATGCTGATGCTCTTGCAGATGCTGATGCTGTGGCCCGCATGGACCACACTGCGCATGCTCTGCTGTGGGAGCCCCGGGGAGGTGTGGGGAGAGGGGGGGTGCAGAGTGATACAGCATCCCAGGCAGCATCAAAAGAGATGGTGGCACCTCCAAAGATGGGGGTAGGGGAGAAACAAGCCTACAGTCAGGGTTGAACCCAAAGAGAAAAGTGCAGACGATTCCAGTCCTGGGGTGGGCTTGATCTAACAGCAACTTGCCAAGGAAAACGACCCATCCTCAACACCCACTTCTATACCAACCCTCTCCAGCACAGGGAAAACTGAGTCCACGCATTTTCTTTCTAGAATCTTTATTTACTTCCTTCCCTCAAATAAATATAAAGGGCCGCTGCCGGGGAAGTAAAAATAGCTGTTCTCCTCACAACGAGTGGGATGACAGTGGGAAGCTCTGCGGAGCATCCGCAGGCTTGCCTATATGGGCATAGAGCCACTGGGATCCCTTTGCAGGGTCATAGGTCCTTCCTGCTTGTGCCCATAGGTTTGAGGAAAGCTAAATTCAGAAAGTATGAGGGGCCGTGTCTGGAAAAGAATAAATACGGAGGAGTAGAAACCAATCGTGGCAGCTATCTTGGGAAATCTATCGTCTGTCAACCTACCTTGGCGGTGGACAGACATTTCTGAGAACACATTTCTATTTATGGGCTCCAGTCTTACCTTGTTCAGAGAAAGGGGATACTTTCACTTCTGCCAATTCCCTGGCTTGGGTGGGTTAGTAGCCGCTGCTAATTCTGGTAGTTCAAACTGGAATTCGAGACACGTTTCTACCACCAGACTCCAGTAATACCAGCATTGACATATACACTCTACCAAGGATGGCTAAGCAATAACAGTGGTATCTTATTCCACTATCTGTATTTAAAATAGAGGTAAAATATATACTTGAAGAGGGTCGGGGAGATTTCAAGAAGTTAACCCAAACCCTAAGCATAACTCTAACCCGAACCCAAATCCAAACCCTAACCTGAACCCGAACCCTAACCGTAAACGTAACCCTAAACCTGACCCTAATCCTAAAAAAGAAAACAAGCTAAGCGTCCATCACCATCACGCTGTCAAGACTGTTTGCTGCCTTCTCTGTGCAGCTTCAACACAAGAACTTCCGGAGAGAGACAAGGACGGACGGACAGACCTGCACACAGACCTCAGATTGTTGGGGTGTCGGATATTAATTTTAGCCTTTTCATTGCAAATTTTAGCAGGAGTATTTATGGGACACATCAACTTGTAATTAATATTAACACTACACATACACACACAGAGACTCCGTATGAGGCAGCCACGGTTTTCCTTGTCGTTCACATTGTAGCCCCAAGTCCTAACATGATAATTAAGGCCCAGGGAACTCTCTTGGATAACACGTGATCAGTGAGTCAGGCCGGAGGCTGGGTAGATTACCCAGCACCATGGTGTAGTCAAGCTGCTGAGCGTGTAGGTGTCTTTGCTCCCTAAGGCCAGTATTCCTGCAAAGGTCTTGCTCAAGAGGGCAAGGTGGCTAGGTTGTCCCAACTTGTATTTGTTATACTACGCATCTTGGAAATGAATTTGGGAGAATAAAACCAGAAAGAAGACGGCCAAGGACTTTGAAGGGAGAAGGAAATGGAGGAGAAAGTGTCCCGGCACAGTTATTTCAAAGGCGCATCTCTTAACCGAGCAACGGTCTCTCCATCTGCTCACTAAGTAAACCTACCATCTGAGCTGGGCTGACAGATCATCACTGTTACAACCCACCAGCCTACGCAGGATGCGGTTCCATTCGGTTTCTGATGAGGAGTGGGGATATTTACAAGGAAGGATGCTGATTTATGCTGTGTAGTGGAAAAACAGCATTTATATATAGCAGTGTAATGTTTACAGATGCACTTGGAGGCAAGGCAGGGTCCCCAGCAAGTGAGGCAGGAAATGGGTAAACCACAAGGAAAGGTTATTAATTAGCATTTGCTATTTAACCTCTACTTAAATAAAGGTCAACAGGATCGCATATTCTTTAGTTGCCAATTTATTATATTTATCATTATTCTTATTATTAGTTTAAGATGTTTCATTGTGATGGAGTTTACTTCTGAATAGTCCCATTTTTACCATTGTGGTGTAGGGTAACGACTTTCTTGATTCCTCTCCAATGCCTTGCTCTGCGTTTGCAAATCGGCTTTTCCCTAACAAAACTTAGCAAAAAGAGGTGCTAGGGGTGCAGTGCTCTGACCTAGCATGTGAGAGGCCTTGAGGGTTCCATTCCAGCATTTCACACACACACGCACGCACGCACACACACACACACACACACGCACTCACACAAATCTGCCACTGCAGGTGAGGTTGTCAAAAGACAACTGAATTCAGGTAGCAACAGGAGAGATTCAGCAAGATTGGCTGGAGTTAAGAAAATTAAAGTTTGAGATCAGCCTGGCTCTGGAAACAAAGGTGCACTGGCTGTGGAGGTCTTCGGTGGACCACTGGTACGATCTGGTCAGAGTGGCAGATGTGGGAACTGATTGCTGTGGGGGCTCATGGGGCAAATCAGACCATACAGTATGGACACCAGTGTCTCCAAGCAACCTCCAGACTGGGCAATCAAGTACTTGCAGAAATGGTTCAGCTGGCCTGGACAGGAACGCCACTTGACTGTGGCCTCCCTTTGCCAAAGTCTGCTTGCTGATTTTAAAACCCGTGAGACAATTAAAATGAAATAAAAACAAGAAAAAGTCAAGCCATGGAAATATTAGATTTAGAAAGCACGTGGCCCACAAGGGTCCCAGGAGGGCAGGGTGAAGGAGGTGGAGAAGGAGGGGGTGTGACAGAACAGGCTCAGGAGAACAATTAAAGTGATTTGGCCACGTTGGAAGCTGAGAAAAGGTCTAGGAGACAGTAAGAGCTCAAACAAGAGCAGAGGGGACTGCCGCACAGCTGAGGAGTAACTGGCCTCACAGAGCCGGCTGTGGGTGATGATGTCATATGCTTTTCACGGGCGACGTCACCGGGTCTCATTCTGGTGACTGCGAACACTGAGTAAACAGGTGGAAAACTGTACTAAAGAGAAGAACAACACTCGTTTCTTTCTTAGTCAATGTGTAGAACGAGTGAGCTCTGTTGTTGATATTTTCCACTTATCAGGGGCCAGCACGTTTTCTGGAAAGTATCACTTAGTCAGTATCGTGGGCTCTGTGGGATATGTGGTCTCTGTCACTTATTTTATTCTTAGCAACAGTTTAAAAAATGTAAAAATCAGTGCCAGAAAGTCTTGGTAGGTAAAGGTGCCTGAGTTCAATCCCTGGGAACCACTTGAAGTCAAGAAATGATAGCTACAAGTTGCACTAGGGTTGTGACCTCCACAAATATACTCCACAAACAACCATGCACACTGCACATTCTTCCTCCCTCCCTCCCTCCCTCCCTCCCTCCCTCCCTCCCTCCCTCTTCCCCTCCCTCCGTGTGTGTGTGTGTGTGTGTGTGAACTGAGTGTGTTGAATGATGCATGCCTTAAATCTCAGTATTGCAGAAGCAGAGACAGATGATACCACAGCCGACCTGAACTACATCACAAGTTCCAGACAAGCAAAAATTACATGCAAGGCTCTATCTCAAATACATACGTAAGTGTAATAAAAAATAATCTTCAGGTAATAAAAAATCTAGGCTGCAGGCTCTAACTCACCAGCCCATCATTTTACACAGCAGAATATGTCTGCCTGCACTACACAGTCAAATACACTAAAGTTCATAGTTATAAACTGTACTGTGGCCTGTGGCTTGTGAGTAGAAAAGTGAGGCAGGCAGGTACAACATTTAGTGCTCTATTTTCAAAAGAACCTGGGTCTGGTGAGGAGACTCGGCGGGGAAATAATGTGCTTGCTGCCAAGCCTGACACCTGAGCTCACGGGGTGGAAGAAGAAAACCAACTCCCGAGGGTTGTCCTCTGACATCCACCCGTGTACTATGAAGCGTGCGTGTGTGTTTGTGTGTATAATATATATATATATATATGTTTATATAATATATCTCTGTGTGTATACATGTGTGAATCTGATCACCCTTGTTCAATTGTTTGCTTTCAACCAGTAAGTATCAGCAAGCTGTCACTAACTTCTTCAAAGATGTTCAATACATGAACGAGCTCCTAAGGAAAAAGCATCTCTCCTTTTTGGTGCTAATTCCCAGAACTTAAATGGTGGGACAAGTGTCAGAATTTATTCACCAAAACAAAATAGATGTCAAAACTTTCCTTTATTGTGCCAAACTGTATTTTCTGGAGAGCAAAGAGGTTTGCATGAACATTACAGCCATGAGAAGTCAGAAGACAAGGTAACACACACCGTGACATCCCTTCTGTGAGCCCGTCACTATCGGTGATCTGCCTTTACTCCTCACACTCGGTCCTGGAGTGCAGATGCAGGATAGTGAGTCTGTGCTCCAGACACAACGCAGCACATGGTGTGACCCGAAACATGCGTCTATGGAAAATAAGTCTGCCAGACCACATAACACCTCAGCCTCTGGGTTTATTCCATAAACCAGCATAAAACCAGGAACGGAGGTATACACCTGCAACCCCAGAAGGTGGATGGTAGAGGCAGAGGGGTCAATTCTCAAGGTCATTCTAAGCCACTTAGTAAGTTCGATACTAGCCTACTCTGCATAAGCGTCTACTGGAAAAGCTAGCTGATTAGTTAAAAAAAAAACTTAAAATTTTTAAAGTATGCTAGTATTTATTCTAAAGGATGCCACAGTTTCAGAAGTCACAATGTAACTGACTCCTACACTACTAGGAAAAATAAAAAGAATTTCCTACGAAAGGGACACTGGGGACCATTAAACAGAGA